AATTATCTATCTCTTCCCTCTATCTGCCCCGCTGGTTTTTCTCGCCAGGCTTATATATTAAAAAAGAGGGCAACTCGATCAGACTAGAGTTGCCGGGCAAATTCATGATCCTTCGAGAAACTCCAGCGCGCATGCTCCCAGCATTATGCGACTTCCGCTGTCGTAACAGTGGTATTATTAAGTAAAGTCCGGCATCATGTGTACTACCATGCAAAGTCTGGAATCAAGTGGTACTACCATGCAAGATCTGGTATCATGTGATACTAACATGCAAATATCGACATCAAGTGGTACTATCATGTAAGATCCTAGTATAATGTGGTACTAACATGCAAATACCGGCATCAAGTGGTACTACCATGCAAGATCTGGTATCATGTGGCACTATTATGCAAATACCAGTATCAAGTGATACTACCATGCAAAGTTCTGTATCAAGTGGCACTACCATACAAGATCTGGCATCATGTGGTACTATCACGTAAAATCTGACATCACGTGGTATAATCATTCAAAGTCCGGTATCAAGTGGTACTATCTTGCAATATCTGATGTCATCGTATGGTGCCGCCATGCAAGAACTGATTAAGTTGGATCAACAGGAAGCACTATTATTTCAAGTATTATCTAAAGTGGGATTTTGTAACACCCATGTCCTGTGGATACAAATTTGATGTGCAAGTATCTACGAGGCCACTGCTGACTGAAAAGAGGCTCGGCAAAATTGCCATCTATCGGCACTTTTGTATAGTATATTTGTTGAAACTTTTCGTAACACGCTTGTTACTCGTGGTGATCTTTTCTGCTTACAACCTTCTTTTTTCAACACACTAATAACACTGCGTTACTTTTAAGTGACACTTTTTTTTACATTTTACAGGTGAAAAATAGATGTTACGTTTCTGGTAGATCTTTGGCTAGTAGGGTAAATTATAAGAAGATTAAGGGAATATGAATAGGTAAGTAGGCTGAACGTAAGGCAGAACATATTATCGAAATGTCACTATTTCTAATGATCCAGAGTCAATCCTGGGTACATAATTTCAAAGTAGCTAATTAGGAAGAAATGTATAGGTTCAATTTGCAAGTGATTGGAGGAAGGATGTTACACGTACTCTGACTTCTTGCCAACATAGAGATTAGTCATTAAATGATATGGTTACACGTACTCTGGTCTATTGCGAACGTAAAGATTAGTCATTAAGTGATAAATTGCTAATCATTATCACTTTATCGTTTTCTTCCTTAAGTAATCCCTTACAGGTGTTGATATGAATACTATTACGTATAATTTATTGGGTAGGGAGATATTAATTTGTGTATGGAATAAGGGTATCCATAAAGTCCATTATAATGTATTGATATTTCCTGGAAATGCGGATGATACATCTTAGTTGTTATAGATATGTTTTTCGTTTGGAATCATTACATATTTCTTTAACTGTTAAAGAAAATTTCACTTTACGATATAATACTGGTGTATTATTTCAGTAAATGATGACAGTTTCTATGACATTCATCCATAACTTCTTCATTGAGGACCGTTTCCTATCCTATTTACCCATATCCTCATCATTGACGACAACTTCCTATTTCAGTAATGAATAACCTCATCAGTGAATACAGTTTCCTATTCCAATAATGCATAACCTCATCAGTGAAGAGTTTCCTATTCCATTAATCCATAACCTCATCAGTGAAGAAAGTTTCCTATTCCATTAATCCATAACCTCATCAGTGAAGAAAGTTTCCTATTCCATTAATCCATAACCTCATCAGTGAAGACAACTCCCTATTCCAATAATGAATAACCTAATCAGTGAAGACAACTTCCTATTCCAATAATTAATAACTTCATCAATGAAGACAACTTCATATTCCATTAATCCATAACCTCACCAGTGAAGACAGTTTCCTATTCCAATAATTAATAACTTCATCAATGAAGACAGTTTCCTATTCCATTAATCCATAACCTCGTCAGTGAAGACAATTTCCTATCCCATTCACACATAACTTCATTTGGCATTATAACAGACCCAAACATAAAATTACTCAATTCGATGCAGTATAGGGCCCTACCTCTACGGTGAACGGTGGAAAAACAAGTTGAAGAAAGGAAATTGAACGTCTGTGTATATCGCTCTGATTAGTGTAGAATTTCGTATCAAGTTCACTTGTGTTTGGAGGTGTAATTATAGGAATAATATTCAATAAAGTAACTCACAAAAAGCAACATTTATTTTATTTATAATTAGATTAATCATTTTGAGATTCATTCAAAATTCTCTGAGGATAACATCAGAGTTAAAGATAAATATCTCTTTAAACAGCACGGTCAGAAGGTTCTCAAAATATATGTTTTAAAATATACGATTTATTATTGTTCTTTGTGAAGTTAAACTTTCCGTCACAAGTTTATTCTGCTTAAATCACCACATTCCGCGACACCAGGGTTAAGTCAAAGATGTTCAGTTTACCAATATAACTTTTATTATACCATATATGTATATACTACATAAAATTTCTTTAATTAGGTATTTTTTTAAATTAAATACGCCTAATAAAGCATTCTTGATAGTTCATTATTGTTTTCAGTGAACTTGAAAAATACTTATTTATGCAGAGAGTAAATTATATTTCCAATGTTGTTATAAAAACTATGTTGATAAGTATCGGTCAAGAGATGGCGCTATGAGAAAAAAGTTGGTACTTGAAAACAAACAAACTTGGAGCCGTTCTATAAGCAGCTATGCCACGGCTAAAAACAACAACAACATTAGTTCTAGCTGTCAACGATACGCTCGTATCAAACGTTAATAACGAATAATGAATTTTACAATATAGAAAAGCATGCGATTTGAAAAGCCTTCGAGTATAATATTATTTGCATTATTTGTTACACAAAATACATATACATAATCATATGTAATAGAAGGGGTTTTTGCCATAAAAATTGAGATCGTTTCGTTGAGTTCTAAAAGAACCAAAGCTAATCCAGATCATGTAAATCCGGCAGCCATGTTTATGATGCCATTTAAATCTCGACGTTACTTCAGGTTCCATAAATCCATTATTGAAATCATATAATTGAATAAACATATTGATACACATACGGCCTATTTATAGATAGAACATATTTATATTAGCTCCCTAACAAAGGGTCTTTAAGTTTCGAACATAATAGTACGATTTAAAAATGTCATTTTACAATAGTAGAAAAAATTATCAATAAGGGTTTTTATCTAAATTTTGAAATATTTTTCAAGTTATTAGAGTAGCATTTATATCACCTTTGTGTTATATAATATACACCTAATACACATTTTTGTAGCCTAAGATAACATGCCAAGAGTTCGTGTCTACAAGTGGGCAACCAGTGTTTCACGAAATCGTTGAACAATCCTCCGAGACATTTGGAAATTCGAAAGTGGAACATTTTTTTGCCTCCAATGCGTTACAAATGTTCATCAATTCAGCTTGTCATCTGAAAGTTCGAAAGCTGAACATCTGTTGTCTTCACTGTGATGCAGATGTTCAACAAAAGTCTGAACGATACCGATAATAAAAAGCAATGAAAGTTTACGACTAAACTATGTAAAACCCAAACCACGACTGGCTGTAGATCATTGAATTACTGCATGAAATTCCCTGTGTGCAGCTTTTATCATTCTTCTTATGTGTCTTTAAACTTTTCACAAATCATGGACGTTTAGGAATGAAAGTTAATTATTCACAATATGAACCTGAATAATCCTAACTAATTAACATTGACTCCAGTTCTGAAAACACAGCGTCTAACGCACTCTGTCGCCTCGGTAAAGAATCTGAAAAAAAATCCAGTAGCTAATTAGGACTAAAACACTTTAATATCACAGTTCTTAGACAAACAAAAAAATAAAAAAAATCAATAATTATCCCCCCCCCCCATTTTGTTATCGTAGTATGTATTCTAAAATTTCTCAAGTGTTGTAATTTAGATTCAACATGATGGAACCTATATATATTTTCTCAG